CATTGTCAACTTCCAGAATCTGCTATCCCTTCTCTTTGAATGCAAAAAATTTGAACATCAGAAACAAACACTGCGCGCCTCAATCGGAATTTTCCCACTCTCCCATCACCGGCTTCTTAGTTATAACCAATATGACAATCTTCTCAAAAATTTAGTGGATTTTTTAATTTCAACTAAGCGTTTCTAGTCTCCAGTTTTCAAATCCCTAATTAAATGCAGTTACAAATTTTTTAAGTTTTAGTTTAAGCCTCTCTGAGTGCCTGGGAAAAAGAGTATGTTCTTTTTATTTATTAAGAATTTTGCTTTGATGAACGTGTTTCTCCAAAAGTATTGGAACCACCAAATGCTAGATTTTAATTTTTTCTAATCTACCTCTCCAAAAGTGTTTTGGAAAAATATTTAATTTTGATCTCTACTGTCAATTTGTTTCGCTTCTTCAAGAACAGCGTGTACTCTCATCAGCATCAACAACTCAACTCACAAAAATACAACTTACAGCAAGGGGGATAAAAGCGAGTAGCAGAGATCCCCCCCCACATCATCATCAACAGTCGCTCTTTACTGTGTGTGTTCCCGTCATGGGATATTTAGGTCTCAGATGACCAGTTCTACAATTTATGTTATTACAAATTATCTTATTTATGTTCGTACAAAGAAATTAAAATTGTGGGATATACCATCTGTTGTTGGTTCAATATTAACAGGTAAGTTTACTTTCATTCTTATATAATCAGCAATATTTTTTGCATGAAATTATTTTTAAATAGAAAAGTTCATATCAACTTCATAGTCGTTGAAAAAGTCTTAGTAACTCTAAAATAAATAATTTTAATTTCAAATGAAACAAATTTCACTAAACTTTTAATTCTTTTAAACAAGGATTTTTTAAATAGCATTTAGATGCTTGAAGCATCCAGACACGCTCTATAAAATGTGTACGTAATATTCGCTTGGATAACCTTTTCCGGTGTAGCGTAAAGTCTAGTAAAACTAATTTAACACATTTTACATGCCTTCGTTAAATGTAAAACTAATTGCTTATAAACATTAAGTAACCACTACTCCTTAAACAATAAATGTATAAAGTATCATTTTAAAAAGTTTTGTCTAATGTTTCATTTGCTAATTTCTTGCTTCATGTGTAATGTTTAGATTCGAAATTTTCAACCAAAATTTGTTGTTCGGGAAAAGGTAAACATGATAAGCATCCAAAATTTGCCATTTTGATTTGAAAGATAATTTAAATAAATGCATTCGAATTCTTGTTATTAGATCGAACTCGGAATTTACACCAGAGTTTTTGTAGTGAACTAAAATTGTTCTTATTATTGAAAATTCAACTTATTAAACTCTTATGTTGCATTTTCTTTCATGCAGTTCTTTTTGTTGCAGAGTTTTGATTCCTTATTTTACATGCAAAATGTTTAGAAATGTTTGGAATGTTGGAATTGTTCTAATTAAAATATTAATTAATACGAAGTAGATCTTTGTTAGAAATCACATATTATTTAGTTTCTAGTAATTTTCCTTCTTATTTGGAATCTTACAATTGAAACTTTTAGTGTATCTACCACTAAAAAAATATAAATCCAATTCACTAGTATACAAGACGTGTTAACCTGACACTTGACATTGTTGTTAACTACTTACTCTCCACACTACTTACTCTCCACGTATTGTGAACACTCCTACCTTAACAGGAACTCCCCCTACGAACAGTTTCAGACCAGCTTATGAGTTTATTCAATAGTTTCCTGGTTATAACTATCTCGGATATAATGGCTAAGCGATAGTTTGTTGCAAATTCTGACCGCTTTCTGATTCCTATTCAAATTTTAAATTTTCAAATTTGTGCTCTCCGGCTATCATCGTTTCATGTTTTTCTCAATGATATAAGCAAAATATATAGCTAATTATATAACCCAAAAAAATGCGTCTTGTTGCGAAATTTTGGACACTTTCAAATTTGCTAGTGTACTCAAATAATAATTATAACTTAGACTTGGAAGAAATTTCCCTATTTTCGTAACCATAATCATCATCATAATTGGCCAGACAGCCCAATGTAGGTCAATGCCTTCCTCTGAGGATTTCTCCATAATGACTTCCGATTTATCTTTGATCTGCAATTCTTTTCATTAATTGTAAGAAAATCACTCCACCGAGTCAGTCCATCTTAACCTTCCCTGCTTTCTGATTCCAGAGGGTTTAAAAAGCATCTATTTTAGTTTCCTGACCTGTTATGAATAAAATTTGTTGCCCACAAAATATTATATTTGCAATCTACTTAATTTTTTTCTAAACGTTATGCAAAGCTCATCTGCTATTCTCCTTCACGATTCTCCAATATGTTTTTTAATCAATGTATTACTTGTATATTGGCGACTAGTTTCTTTTAAAAGTAACGTTACTCTTTGTTGCTTCATTCAGGAGCTGATTTCTGACTGGATTTGTGTAATCACGATTGGAATTTATTTATTTTTTCCTGCGTATAAAACTGCCGATGTTTGTGGAATCTCTAAGAAAGCAAAAGTGAGTATTTTTATTTTCTTGTGTTTCTATTAACGAAGATTTGTTTAAATCTTTAAATATTTTTTACTCTTTGAAACTAAGCATTTGTAAACGTTAAACTTTAAGAATTTCTTCGCAAAAACACAATTTGTTGTTTTGGTGGAGAACTAAAAGAAATCAGCGTACAGTGTAAAAACTGATGCACTATTTCTCTAAATTAGATGTTTAAAACATAAACAATCTTATAAGGGAACTTTTTTCACAATATCTAATCTACAGCTTTCAGGAATTTATAGGGTCTAATAATCTAAATGTCTATAAATCTGAAATTTTTGTAATGGTCGACACCAGTCTCTCTCGGTTATTCACACCATACATTAAATATTCTTGTTTTCGAACGTCGATACACTTTGGATTAAAACTATAGGTAGCATGTTGGTTGTCTTCAACACTGCTATGAATTTATATAGAAACTAATATTCGCTGCTAAAAAGTATTTTTAGTTGTAAAATCAGGATTTGTGTTTTTTTTGTTTTGAGACTTAAGAACTTAAAAATTTTGTTTCTGGTCTGAATTTTTTTATGCATCTGTCGATCCACTCAAATATCGTGACTCACTCATTGAGGAAACTTATTTTACCGAAGATAGTTCCAAGCAAATTTTTTATTTTGTAGTCTAAAATTTTGAATTGTAAGACAAAGTAACGCCCAAAAGATATAAAATTTAAGCAACACCGTTCAAATAGTTAGTCAGAAGTGAAACGTTAAAGATGTATTCGATGTATTCAAAATTCCAAATGTATAAATCTAAATTTTGAATTTCTTTTTAATTTACATTGGTTTTTCTTTTGCAAGGCAGACTAAGTCATACGCACTTCAATAATTTGGTCCAACTTGCATACACGTCAAAACCCTTTAATTTATACAAATTATCCTACAAATGTGGAATCAGATGTCAGTCTTAACTAAAAGTATTTCTCGAAAAGAGCTTTGTTTGAAGCTTTATACATAGAGATTAAATACTAATCGTAATCCTTATTTTATTGAACTTTGATTCTTCTATCATAAAACTTTTACATTTTTAAAGGCTCTATGGCGCATTAAAAAATCGATATTTTCAATGTGTTATCAACTTTTTTAAAGATTTTTAAAAAAACGTGAATACTCTTTATTTGACTGAGAAAATTTTAGAACCTTGTACAGATTTGTCTGGCACTTTTAGCAAAACTTCCATTTGCAGCCTTCGTCTCCCAAAACACCCGTTATTAGCAAGAGAACTTTCAATTTACTTAAATTAAAAGATCAAAGGTTTTTAATGTATCCTTTGATTTAGTTCCTGATTCTGTTTTGGATATAACTTAAATCAGTCTTTTAGCTCTGTTACTCTTGCAACATGCAAGACTTTTTAAATTCCTATTAAATTTTCGGGTTGATTATTTGGTACTAAGTAGTGCTGCTAGTCAAGAATGTCTCACTATTTTAACAGCATGTTTTGAAAGTTTTAAATAACCTGCTATAACGAAAATATCTTAATTTACTTTAAAGATTGTAAAACTGATATTTATAAATATTTTCATAAAATGTTTAGCATATTAATATAAAATTACTTAATAAAGGATCATAACTTTGAAAAAGTGTTTAAACGCATAGCCTATCAAACACTATTAAGAAAGGATTATACATAGATTGAAACAGAATAACAAGGAATTTGCAGAAAATTTTTAATTATGCTCTTGATAGCTAAAGAAATCTGAATCTTTAGAAACAAAGTGATTTTTCTGGCTAGAAAGAATAAGCAGACAATGTGACGTTTTTAGAACATTGTGTAATAAAGTGCAACTTATGGGATCAAAAAATGGGTTGGGTTTCGTGAATTTTATGATCTGATTAATTCTTCGCTTAAAATTTATATCATTTAGAAAAGCTTCTGTGAATTCAGATTTTCTGATGTGTTTAAGGAAAGCTTTATTAATTTGTTAAATGGCAAAATTTATAAAATTCCTCTCCAATGTTAAGTAATGGAAGAGTGCCTCCTGGTTGCTAAGCAACTGAATCGTCAAACAAAATTCCCTTTAACTGGGTCGTTTTTTTCGTGCAAAATAAAATGAATCTGAAATTTAAAAGCAATCTGCTTGAAAAAAAATTTTTTTAAACAGCTTCCTTTTTCTTCCAATCAAAATGGTTTAATTTAGTGCGTTGGCTGTAGGAATGTAGGCTGTAGAATGCTTACCGTAACATTTTAAACTGAAAATTTCAGTTTTTTAAAAATCACTTTCAATGCATTCATTCACTAATATAAGTGGTTTACGGCCCAGTAATTATAGTTATCATTTAATTTCAGCCTGACTATTGCTCACCGGAAGCCTGAATTTAACAGCACGGAATGAACGAGCAGCCTGACTATTGCTCACCGGATGCCTGAATTTCACAGCATGGAATGAACGAGCAGCCTGACTATTGCTCACCGGATGCCTGCATTTCACAGCATGGAATGAACGAGCAGCCTGACTATTGCTAACCGGATGCCTGAATTTCCCAGCATGGAATGAACGAGCAGCCTGACTATTGCTCACCGGATGCCTGAATTTCACAGCATGGAAGGAACAAGGAACATTTTATTGATTAACAGAAGTAACCAGAAATGAATTCTGGCTGTAAGGACATCGAAACAAGGTGTGTATGTTAGCTGTATTTTATTCTGTAAAATATTTGTCTAGTTAAGTTCTTTAGGCGCAAACTATTTTTGTCTGTCAATTTCTAAGCTCTATAAATTACTCTGCAAATAGCATATTTTCAGTGTTTTTTTTTCATAAAAGAAACCGTTTAACGGATTTTCAAAAAATTACTTGTATGAGTCTTAAATTTTATGGCAAGCTTTATTTAATTTTTTATCTTAAAAAAAAAAAAACTTTTACTAGAACTTTCTGCGTATTCTAAAATATATATTTTAAACTATGTAATAAAACTACGTAGTTTTTGAATTTATTAAATTTAAGACACTAATCTATATTTCAGAATGGAAGTCAGTTTTTATCTTTGCTATTTACGGAAATCTGACTTTTATGACTGTTTTAATGAAAGTTAAACAAAATCTGGCTAAAGACAAGTTTTTACAACTGCTTTGTGCACGCAAAACCTTTCTGCTTTACCTTTTACTCTTCCATCGTGTCTATGAAACCACGATAGCCCAGATACAAATTCTTATTCTGTTCAAATTCTGTTTGACTATGTCTTCTGAATTTCGAGTTTCTGTTAGTAATTTTTAAAGTATTATAATATGATACAATATTTTAAATCTAGTTACGTCTCAAATTTTAACTGTTAAACTTGTGTTAAATTTAAATATTTGTTTTCTCTAAGTACTATATCTTAGATTGTCAAATGAATATTAATTATTGAACTTGAATTTCATGTCAGTTGAGAAAATTTTCTCACTAAAACATAAATTTAAATCAATTTACATTGACGGGTTAATTCCATAGCCATTTTAGTTTCAGTTTAAAATTTCGTTTTTAAGATTAGTTTGCAACGAAAGTTTTAAACTGTTACCACTCCAGTAATTTTTGAAAGAAATTTGTCGAAGTATTTACGCTCATTTTATCTCTAATTATGAAAGTGATGATTTGTTTTTGTTTTTTTAGATTTATTACCGTCCTCACTTCTATTGGAATGAGCACCCATAGTTCACTGCATGAAAGAGCGTCGAATGCAACAAATTGAAACAGAACTCTATACAGGTCAAGAACTCTTTTTATATTATGTGGAATGTTCCTAATTTGTACACTTTACGCATTAATTGCCTACACATGTTAATCTTGACTTATGCAAATATTTTAGATCGTTGATATTAGTTTCAATCTTACTTTTCTAATGAATAGTCTTAAGAATTCTTTTTAAGCAAGATATAATTAAAAACATTTCAGTTAAATTTTGACAACAATATTCCTAAACTCTATAGAAAGTCAAAGAGCAAAACAGATGTTCATAAATTTTAACTTTTTATTTTTAAACATTTTCTTTAATGTGTCAAATTACAAGATTCCAATAAATATTGGTAAAGGCAAATACTGTTAGATGCAAAATATCATTTTATAATTAAAATATAGGGCATATAGAGAACATCTCTAAGTACGCTAATTTCCTCATCAAGTAGCAAAATTTGTGAAGGACTTTCCTTACCCGAATTTTTTAAATTCTGATTTAAGATGTTGTGAGACGTTTTATGAAGTCATCGAGAAGAATGTAAGATTTTAGCTCTGCTCAGGTATTTTGTCTTTCAAGTTATCCTTTGCGCTAGTATAATTGAAAACATTGAGCGATCACTCAGTCTTCGGAATTGCTTAATTAATTGTAATTTCGCCAAACTTATCCAAATTTAGATTGTTGACACAAAAATTAGAAGCAATTAGCATTATTATTGTGAAAGTAATAAAATTGAGTGCTTTCAAATAAAAACATTCATTATAATTCTTTATTAGCGTTTTTTTTTCTTAACTCACCTTTAAGTTAAAAAGGGTGTGATTCTGAAAACAATTCATTCAATTAATAATTAAATTTAAAATGTCAAGCAATTCTCAAAGTTTTTGCTGCAAATTTTGGTATTTTTACAGATGCACAAAACAGACTGAAAATGCTTTTGAAGTTATATTTAATAATTCAGAAGTATCTGATTTTGAATATCAGAAACTGGACTTATATTTACGTCGCTCGGTACCAAGTTTATAGAACGAATTTTTAATTCAACAGTTTTAGGGCATTTATAAAACATACAATTTGTCTGCTTTCACATTAAACCTTATTTTCAGTTAGGAAAAAGAAATGGACTTCGCTGTGACTCTTTATTTTACTAAATTCTAAAAACCCTAAGGCGGAAGTGAGGGGGGGGGGACTATATGAATGTGAAAACCTAAATAGGATTTTTACTTTTAAGCTTAATTATATAATTAAAAGTTTTTAATAGTCTACGTGCTCTAATTAAAATGAGTTGAGAAAACAAATTCAGAAATAAGTACTTCTGAAGAATTGTTCTTGCGTGATTTAGCTTAAATCTAAAGATTTTATAATATTGGTGTAATTGCAGTTGGAAAATTTAATAATTTTTTTTCCCATAAAAATGCTTACTTGTCTCAAGAATTTTCAACGTAGTTCAAAACTAATATCAAAATATTATTCTAGCAAGTGGCTAATATTGTAAAAGTAATAAGCTATTTAGTCCAGTCAAATTACTA